ATAAAGGGAGTGCGTTTAAACACTATTGCAAAATTATTCCACATGGGGCAGTGCATCCATATGTAACAGGGATGAATGGATGGATGAATGAATGTATGTATGGATGGGTGAGAGGAGAAGGGAAGAGAGAGAGAAAAGATGAGAAAGGGGAGAAGAGGGAGGAGAGGAAAGACTGGAGATAAATAGAGAGGGGAGAGAGAGAGAGATGCTAACTGGTATCCAAGTGTATGCACAGTGGTACAACCAGGATTTCATGATTTATGATGCAACATGATCGGTCGAGACCTAGGAGGTAAACCTAATAAGTTAGAGAATATCATGAAACTCACAAAACCAACGCACAACCTGGGATGGGTGTGGGTGGGGTGGAGGTTGGAAGGTGGGGGTACGTTTCAGGGCAATAATAGTTTAAATGAAGCTATGTTATGTATTGAGGCGTAGTGAAGTTGGTTTTCCAAAGTTTTCCGATGTCGATCATGAGATGAGCACAATCTAATGGCTGTAACTTGAATTTCAGAGGTCCCACAATGATCGGCGCTGTTGAAATGAATGGAAACTGGCCTGGCTGTTTGGCTGGTGATGTCATGAATGCGCTGGCGAAACCTGTCGGCTAAATGGAGACCGGTTTCCCAGATGTACTTGATGTTGCACAGTTTGCAGATGATAGCATAGATGACATTCCTACAAATGCAGGAGAATTCCCCTTTGATGCTAAAAGTGCCTTTAGGAGAAATCACATCAGAAATATTCAGTACGTATGGGCAGGTGTTGCACTGAGGTCTAAGGCAAGCCATAGTGCCCGGATGAGAAGGAGTGGGCGCCCGTACTCTGCTGTGTACCAGTAAATCTGTGAGGTTGGGGTCCCGCTTATATGCCAGTAGAGGTGTCTCTGAGAACACAGCGTTAGTTACTGGGTCCGCTCAGAGGAAAGACAGACGACGGAACACGATGTTCTTGATAGCAATGTTATGAGGGTGGTAGGTTAAGGAAAGTATGGGTCAAAGGTTCTGCTGTTTAGGCCTGTGAGGATGAAAGCATCCAGCCGACTTATGCCCTGGAAGCAGCAGAAGGCAGATATTAGCCCATGAAATGAATGACCATGAAATCAGAAGAAATCCAACATTTTGTGGGTCCTACTGTGAAAGTTATCATCATCCTGACATAATCGTCTGAGACGCAAGAGTTGAGAGAAATTAATCTCGTCCTTTACAAGACCGAGGATGAGAAGAGCTGTAGAGTAGAAAGGTGTTGGTCGATTTATAGTGGTGAGACCACGAGGGTTGATAGAAACTGTAAGGTCCAAGAAATTGACCAAAGAGGAATAAATCTGGTGTTAGTTTGATCCTAGGGTGAAAAATAGAGAAGAATTCAATGAAGTTCTCCAGTTCCACTACTGACATATCGGTGACGCCAAAACCATCATCTATATATCTTCTATAGAGTTCAGGGACTCGACCTGTGTATAGTTGCCACATCTGGTACTCCAGAAAACCCATGAAGAGGCAGGCATAACTGGGGCCCATTTCAGTGCCTATAGCCACCCCCACTAATTTGGGCAAAGTACTGGCCATTAAACTCAAAAGAATTGAGAGTCAGAACCAATTCAGCTAAAAGTATGATGGGTTCAGTGGCAATGGCTGGATTACTGCGTTTTTCCAGAAAGAAACGCAGCGCCGAGAGGCCAACACTGTGAGGAATGGAGGTGTACAGTGAGGCAACATCTAAAGTGAAGACCTGAAACCTATGATCTGAGGTGAAAATAACAGACTCAAAAGTTACTATGGCATGACTGGTGTCCTTCAGGTAAGATTGGAGCTCGGCCACTAATGACTGAAAAATGATGTCCAAAAATGCAGAAACATGCTCGGTTGGACAGGAGTAAGCTGAAACTATGGGCCTTCCTGGGTTGTCTGGTTTATGGATTTTAGGCAGCATGTTGAAGCTAGGTTTCCCCAAACAGCTGTCATAGATGTGAAGCGACTTGGCTCTCTGGGGAAGGAGGTCTTGTGTGATGAGTGTCGTCACCACTGATTTCACTTTATGATTGTTAGCCAGCGTGGTGTCTTCCATGCGCGGATGGTAGGAAGCAGTATCCTGAAGTTGTCACTGCCCTTCTTGGATATATAGATCTTTATGCCAGACTACTATTGCTCCCCTTTTGTCAGCGGGTTTGATAACGATGTCCTCACGTCGCTGCAACTGAGTTAACGCTTGTTGTTGTGCTGGCGTGAGGTTGGAATACCTGAGTGGCTTCGGCTTCAATTGTTGTATATCAAACAGGGTTTTGGCAATATAAAAATCTAGTGCTGCATATGAGCCTGGACTATAGGTCCAGGTAGACCCGTTTAGAAATTCTAGTGAAAAAATTATCTGGAGTAGCTAGGTTGGTAACGCAGTTTTTTGTGTGTGAAAATATTTCAGTCTGAGAGAACGAATGAAACGATGGAAGGATGCGTACCTGTCACATGAAGGCTTAAGGGGAACAAAACGGAGGCCCTTGTTTAAGACTGATTTTGTGTGTGTGTTGGATAAAGGAAGATTTGTGGGGAAGTACACCACTAGCTTGTCATTATTGGTCTGTGGGAAGGAGGGGAGAGACGATGGTGGGCTCGCGTGAACGCAGGTTGGTGAGTTTAATATATTTAGCTGCGTTCAAAGATTTGTAGAGCTGGTGGTTGGAGGTATTTATAATACGGATCACACAGTACAGAAAGTGGTTGTGACTGGTCAGATCGCGCAGGTGTATGTCCAGTGGGGGTAATCTGACACTGGAGGTCAACCAGATTACGTTAATGATTATCCAGGACACAGCGCATACGGAGGATTTACTCCCCACCTGAGACAGGCATGTAGCACAGACAATATGCAGTTTACCGGCCGACATGTTGAATCGGGGCGTAAAACCGCGTGAGGTAATCTTATACCGTAAACAGTTGTGAAGGAAGTTAACATGGCACGTAGTACATGTTTGCTGTAAAATATTGAGGGCTAAATCTGTAGCTTCCTGTCTAAGGTCACCCGGTAAAAGACTACAGCTACAAATGATGTGAGATCTAAGAGAACTTAAAGGAGCTGACGCAGCAGCCATGGAAATGGACAGGAAATATCGTTAAGGTGATAATAGTGTGGTGAAACAAGAAAACTAACAACAAGGAAATAGGGTCTAACACAAATACTGTACGCTAGAACCAACACATGCACAGTGACAATGGTATCACTGAAATTAGGTAAACTCAATCAGTGCCACACAGACGAGACCATACGGTGAAATGCAGTGTGAGGGTGGTGATAATATATATCTACAAATAAGGTGACTGTGATAAAGCTATAATAAGTATTTTAAAAGGGTCACACTTTCAGATCTTTATCTTGATGAACTTACTAAGAAATGGGGAGAATGTGAAAAGGAAGACTATACATACAGAAGGGGAATTCAACTAAGTTTACTCACGGGTCACAATGGTGGAGAAAGGGGATCGTCGCAGGCCAGAGGCTTGAGTCAAAAAACAGAGATATCATTAATACAAAAAAAACTGGCTCATGTGGGCCAGATTTGGCCCGCGGGCTGCTAGCTGAATAGCCCTGCAGTATTGTAACATACTTTCAGAAAAACGAAAGGGTCATCCAGACTGTGAGAAGGGGACAGAATCAGGCCAGTGATGACTACCACTGACTTGACCAGCATGGACAGGTCATCATTCTACGCCTCAGAACAAGGCATAACAAACTTAGCAAGTGTACGCACACACCAAGTGTAAGTTATTCATCATTGTGTCCATGTGGGATGTGTGTATAAACTGCAGAACATGTCCTGCAAGACTGTCGTTTGTTCATTCTGTGTATATGTGTGTGTGATATATTATGTAGTCATTTGTAGATATGAGGATCAACAACAGTGTCTGGATCCAATAAACGAAATATAATGAAAACTACACTATGTAGCTTATGTGACATAAAAACTGGAAAATGTACATACATAATTAAGTAACCAGTTTCAGAGCAGCATAAATAAACATCTAGTATGTAATCTTTATGTTCTCTCATAAATAAGCAACAAAACACCACATAAACAACTTCAGGAAAATTAAAAATTGGCAAATAGGACCTTATTTAACAAACTTGCTTTGCTTGTAAATAAAACCTGTAATATAAACATATTATGTAATTCTTGCAAAGCGTATGTAAATAGCTATCACACAATCTTGAAAAATAAAGACTAAACAAACAACACAATTAATCATAAAAAATTTATCCATTTATATGAACTATTACTGGGTGGTAACCACTGCATAGAAGATAAACGACCAAAACGGAAAATTGTGAAGGCATAACATTAAAGGAAATTGCTTTTTAATTGACTTATGACATGCTTGTTAGGGGGATAGTATGTCTTCTCCCCCCCCCCCCCCCCCCCCCCCCGCACACACACACTCAGGCCCTGGAATTACTCTCTAGAACAGCACATCTAGCCAATGCAGTTCACCTGCTTTTATATTACTAATAAGTTTGTTTTATTAACCCCCCCCCCTCCGTTTTTGCAGGATTTCTGTCTGCAGAATTAGAGTTGTGTACATGAGAACCCAACAAGAGCCATTGTATTTTTATAGTATTCATAAGGTAGATTTGACATGTAATTACTTTCTAGACACACACACACAAAAAAGAAACTTCAGTTCTGTGAAAAATCAGAACAAACCTAACTTTAAAAACAGATTATGCATATTCTTAAATATAATAACCACAGAACAACAAAATATTGCTTTGGCTAAATTATTCACCACCACTAGTGACACACAAATAAATACAGATTATGCATATCTTTATATTGCAAACAAACTGAACATTATTATGCATACCTAATTTTCAAACAAAATGTTCTATCAACTCAATAATCTGTTTTTTGTTTATTTTTTAAAAAGATTTAAAAAAAAAAGCAGATTACAAACAAAAGTGATGATATCTGTAATTACAATTTAAAAAAACATATACTATTTAACAATTCACCATCTTAATCTCAGTCTTTTCCTAACATTTGTATTGCGCAAGAATGCAAACAGAATAAACGACAAAATAACAACAATAGAATATAATACAATTCTTCGGAACTGGTTCTCAGTTTGAACATCAACTAAATAAAAGGGCTCTGGAGGAAGATGATCCCTTTTATTTGCCTCCACATGGATATTTGAAAAAGCAGAAGGACCGGCCTTTCCAAAGGATCCATGATGCTTCTGAATCACTAAAAGGTCCTCAACTTTTTCATTTGTAAGAACAGCATGTACAGACCAAATGAGATGAGTTTCATTCAATACAGTCAGCCGGGCATAGAGTTCTTTGTCTCCGTCTGAAGCTGCAAACGCCAGCCAGAAAGGGCGGCTGTACTGTTTATCCACCAAATACTCATAGCCTGTGGCACCAGTAATTATGTGTATGGGAGCCGTGGGGTTAATGGTGTCAGTTTGAAACACCCGGCCTAGATACATTGGCCATGACCTCTCGTAGCAGTGTTTGTGTCCACTCATGTAAAGGTCTACTCCCTGCTCAAAGAATAAGTCCTCTAGCTGCTCCCTCAAAGGGTAACGATCTTGATCACATTCTTGCTGCATGACAGATTTGGTACAGTATAGTGGCTTGTGGCCCATGACAATGATCCATGGAGTTGCCTTCCTGTTTCGGTTGGCATTTATTAAATCACTTTTCAGCCATGTGAACTGAAGTAGATTGAGGCGTGACGGTGGAAGCAGCTCAGTGTTTATGCTGATGAAGTGAGTGTGTCCAATATCAATGCTGTACCACAGGCTGTCCTCTCTCATTGGCCATGGTGAATTCGGCATGGAAAACCTGGATTGATTATTAAGATCGAAAGCATTAAAGATTATATATTATAGTTTCTGCACTCGCAGGTTATAAAGTCCAGTTTAAAGTTATGATTGTTCATCCACTTCTGGATCTTAGTCTTGTTCCAGAAGTTTTGCATGCACATCCATTTTACAGATTTGATTTATTTGTGTGTAGCTGTTGGTTCTTTGTTTCTCAGGCTAGTGCACTCTCCTCATTCAGAGGAGACCAAACTAATCAATGCTGGCCAGGCTCCTGGTTTGGATATCTGTTTCTAGGGGGACCATGGAGAGGTGGAGGTAGGTCCTGAACAGTAGTAGGAGGACCATGGAGAGGTGGAGGTAGGTCCTGAACAGAAGTAAGAGGACCATAGAGAGGTGGAGATAGGTCCTGAACAGTAGTAAGAGGATCATAGAGAGGTGGAGATAGGACCTGACTAGTAGTAAGAGGACCATGGAGAGGTGGAGATAGGTCCTAAACAGTAGTAAGAGGACCATGGAGAGGTGGAGGTAGGTCCTGAACAGTAGTAAGAGGACCATGGAGAGATGGAGATAGGTCCTGAACAGTAGTAAGAGGACCATGGAGAGGTGTAGATAGGTCCTGAACAGTAAGAGGACCATGGAGAGGTGGAGATAGGTCCTGAACAGTAGTGAGAGGACCATGGAGAGGTGGAGATAGGTCCTGAACAGTAGTAGGAGGACCATGGAGAGGTGGAGGTAGGTCCTGAACATTAGTAGGAGGACGATGGAGAGGTGGAGGTAGGTCCTGAACAGAAGTAAGAGGACCATAGAGAGGTGGAGATAGGTCCTGAACAGTAGTAAGAGGATCATAGAGAGGTGGAGATAGGACCTGACTAGTAGTAAGAGGACCGTGGAGATAGGTCCTAAACAGTAGTAAGAGGACCATGGAGAGGTGGAGGTAGGTCCTGAACAGTAGTAAGAGGACCATGGAGAGGTGGAGATAGGTCCTGAACAGTAGTAAGAGGACCATGGAGAGGTGTAGATAGGTCCTGAACAGTAAGAGGACCATGGAGAGGTGGAGATAGGTCCTGAACAGTAGTAAAAGGACCATGGAGAGGTGGAGATAGGTCCTGAACAGTAGTAAGAGGACCATGGAGAGGTGGAGGTAGGTCTTGAACAGTAAGAGGACCATGGAGAGGTGGAGGTAGGTCCTGAACAGTAGGAGGACCATGGAGAGGTGGAGATAGGTCCTGAACAGTAGTAAGAGGACCAAGGAGAGGTGGAGATAGGTCCTGAACAGTAGTAAGAGGACCATGGAGAGGTGGAGATAGGTCCTGAACAGTAGTAAGAGGACCATGGAGAGGTGGAGATAGGTCCTGAACAGTAAGAGGACCATGGAGAGGTAGAGGTAGGTCCTGAACAGTAAGAGGACCATGGAGAGGTGGAGGTAGGTCCTGAACAGTAAGAGGACCATGAAGAGGTGTAGATAGGTCCTGAACAGTAGTAAGAGGACCATGGAGAGGTGTAGATAGGTCCTGACTAGTAGTAAGAGGACCATGGAGAGGTGTAGATAGGTCCTGACTAGTAGTAAGAGGACCATGGAGAGGTGGAGATAGGTCCTAAACAGTAGTAAGAGGACCATGGAGAGGTGGAGATAGGTCCTGAACAGTAAGAGGACCATGGAGAGGTGGAAGTAGGTCCTGAACAGTAAGAGGACCATGGAGAGGTGGAGGTAGGTCCTGAACAGTAAGAGGACCATGGAGAGGTGGAGGTAGGTCCTGAACAGTAGGAGGACCATGGAGAGGTGGAGATAGGTCCTGAACAGTAGTAAGAGGACCATGGAGAGGTGTAGATAGGTCCTGAACAGTAGTAAGAGGACAATGGAGAGGTGTAGATAGGTCCTGAACAGTAGTAAAAGGACCATGGAGAGGTGTAGATAGGTCCTGAACAGTAGTAAGAGGACCATGGAGAGGTGTAGATAGGTCCTGAACAGTAGTAAGAGGACAATGAAGAGGTGGAGATAGGTCCTGAACAGTAGTAAGAGGACCATGGAGAGGTGGAGATAGGTCTTGAACAGTAAGAGGACCATGGAGAGGTGGAGGTAGGTCCTGAACAGTAAGAGGACCATGGAGAAGTGGAGATAGGTCCTGAACAGTAGTAAGAGAACCATGGAGAGGTGGAGATAGGTCCTGAACAGTAAGAGGACCATGGAGAGGTGGAGTTAGGTCCTGAACAGTAAGAGGACCATAGAGAGGTGGAGATAGGTCCTGAACAGTAGTAAGTGGACCATGGAGAGGTGGAGATAGGACCTGACTAGTAGTAAGAGGACCATGGAGAGGTGGAGATAGGTCCTGAACAGTAGTAGGAGGACCATGGAGAGGTGGAGATAGGTCCTGAACAGTAGTAGGAGGACCATGGAGAGGTGGAGGTAGGTCCTGAACATTAGTAGGAGGACGATGGAGAGGTGGAGGTAGGTCCTGAACAGAAGTAAGAGGACCATAGAGAGGTGGAGATAGGTCCTGAACAGTAGTAAGAGGATCATAGAGAGGTGGAGATAGGACCTGACTAGTAGTAAGAGGACCATGGAGAGGTGGAGATAGGTCCTAAACAGTAGTAAGAGGACCATGGAGAGGTGGAGGTAGGTCCTGAACAGTAGTAAGAGGACCATGGAGAGGTGGAGATAGGTCCTGAACAGTAGTAAGAGGACCATGGAGAGGTGTAGATAGGTCCTGAACAGTAAGAGGACCATGGAGAGGTGGAGATAGGTCCTGAACAGTAGTAAAAGGACCATGGAGAGGTGGAGATAGGTCCTGAACAGTAGTAAGAGGACCATGGAGAGGTGGAGGTAGGTCTTGAACAGTAAGAGGACCATGGAGAGGTGGAGGTAGGTCCTGAACAGTAGGAGGACCATGGAGAGGTGGAGATAGGTCCTGAACAGTAGTAAGAGGACCAAGGAGAGGTGGAGATAGGTCCTGAACAGTAGTAAGAGGACCATGGAGAGGTGGAGATAGGTCCTGAACAGTAGTAAGAGGACCATGGAGAGGTGGAGATAGGTCCTGAACAGTAAGAGGACCATGGAGAGGTAGAGGTAGGTCCTGAACAGTAAGAGGACCATGGAGAGGTGGAGGTAGGTCCTGAACAGTAAGAGGACCATGAAGAGGTGTAGATAGGTCCTGAACAGTAGTAAGAGGACCATGGAGAGGTGTAGATAGGTCCTGACTAGTAGTAAGAGGACCATGGAGAGGTGTAGATAGGTCCTGACTAGTAGTAAGAGGACCATGGAGAGGTGGAGATAGGTCCTAAACAGTAGTAAGAGGACCATGGAGAGGTGGAGATAGGTCCTGAACAGTAAGAGGACCATGGAGAGGTGGAAGTAGGTCCTGAACAGTAAGAGGACCATGGAGAGGTGGAGGTAGGTCCTGAACAGTAAGAGGACCATGGAGAGGTGGAGGTAGGTCCTGAACAGTAGGAGGACCATGGAGAGGTGGAGATAGGTCCTGAACAGTAGTAAGAGGACCATGGAGAGGTGTAGATAGGTCCTGAACAGTAGTAAGAGGACAATGGAGAGGTGTAGATAGGTCCTGAACAGTAGTAAAAGGACCATGGAGAGGTGTAGATAGGTCCTGAACAGTAGTAAGAGGACCATGGAGAGGTGTAGATAGGTCCTGAACAGTAGTAAGAGGACAATGAAGAGGTGGAGATAGGTCCTGAACAGTAGTAAGAGGACCATGGAGAGGTGGAGATAGGTCTTGAACAGTAAGAGGACCATGGAGAGGTGGAGGTAGGTCCTGAACAGTAAGAGGACCATGGAGAAGTGGAGATAGGTCCTGAACAGTAGTAAGAGAACCATGGAGAGGTGGAGATAGGTCCTGAACAGTAAGAGGACCATGGAGAGGTGGAGTTAGGTCCTGAACAGTAAGAGGACCATAGAGAGGTGGAGATAGGTCCTGAACAGTAGTAAGTGGACCATGGAGAGGTGGAGATAGGACCTGACTAGTAGTAAGAGGACCATGGAGAGGTGGAGATAGGTCCTGAACAGTAGTAGGAGGACCATGGAGAGGTGGAGATAGGTCCTGAACAGTAGTAGGAGGACCATGGAGAGGTGGAGATAGGACCTGACTAGTAGTAAGAGGACCATGGGGAGGTGGAGATAGGTCCTGAACAGTAGTATGAGGACCACGGAGAGGTGGAGATAGGTCCTGAACAGTAGTAAGAGGACCATGGAGAGGTGGAGATAGGTCCTGAACAGTAGTAAGAGGACCATGGAGAGGTGGAGATAGGTGATGAACAGTAGTAAGAGGACCATGGAGAGGTGGAGATAGGTCCTGCCCAGTAGCAATCCTGGTCTGGGTACATTACCATGTCCGATTCATCGCTCTACGTCCTATGTATAATACTATACTGTCGCAATAAGTATAATTCATCGCTCTGCATCCTATATATAATACTATACTGTCGCAATAAGTATAATTCATCGCTCTGCATCCTATATATAATACTATACTATCGCAATAAGTATAATTCATCGCTCTGCATCCTATATATGATACTATACTGTCGCAATAAGTATAATTCATCGCTCTGCATCCTATATATAATACTACACTGTCGCAATAAGTATAATTCATCGCTCTGCATCCTATATATAATACTATACTGTCGCAATAAGTATAATTCATCGCTCTGCATCCTATATATAATACTATACTGTCGCAATAAGTATAATTCATCGCTCTGCATCCTATATATAATACTATACTGTCGCAATAAGTATAATTCATCGCTCTGCATCCTATATATAATACTATACTGTCGCAATAAGTATAATTCATCGCTCTGCATCCTATATATAATACTATACTGTCGCAATAAGTATAATTCATCGCTCTGCATCCTATATATAATACTATACTGTCGCAATAAGTATAATTCATCGCTCTGCATCCTATATATAATACTATACTGTCGCAATAAGTATAATTCATCGCTCTGCATCCTATATATAATACTATACTGTTGCAATAAGTAAAATTCATCGCTCTGCATCCTATATATAATACTATACTGTCGCAATAAGTAAAATTCATCGCTCTGCATCCTATATATAATACTATACTGTCGCAATAAGTATAATTCATCGCTCTGCATCCTATATATAATACTATACTGTCGCAATAAGTATAATTCATCGCTCTGCATCCTATATATGATACTATACTGTCGCAATAAGTATAATTCATCGTCTGCATCCTATATATAATACTATACTGTCGCAATAAGTATAATTCATCGCTCTGCATCCTATATGTAATACTATACTGTCGCAATAAGTATAATTCATCGCTCTGCATCCTATATGTAATACTATACTGTCGCAATAAGTATAATTTATCGCTCTGCATCCTATATATAATACTATACTGTCGCAATAAGTATAATTCATCGCTCTGCATCCTATATATAATACTATACTGTCGCAATAAGTATAATTAATCGCTCTGCATCCTATATATAATACTATACTGTTGCAATAAGTATAAAATTAATGTAGCTAAAACCAAAACTGTTAATGTTAACATATAACACGTTAACCTCTTTGTACTGTAACTTATCATGTTTTTCTCATTGCCAGAATGCATGGGTTAAACCAGAACATAACAGTATAGTACAGCGGGGATCTCAGTGACGAAGTGCTCAAGCCATTTGCCTCATGTTCTGAAGGTCATGGGTTAATTTCACGGCTGCGTCATTTGGTTTATGAATGCAATTTTTACCAAGACCCCCGGAGACTGTCACTGGAGCTACAGTGTTTGCGATTTGTCGGACACTCTCAACAGGCAGTTAGCTGTTCTGCAGAAAGAAACTAAGCTATATGGGATAACAACCGGTGCAATGAGGTTGGTGCTCTCAACTTTTTAAATAACAGTACAGAAAGTACACAGGTAAGTTCAACCAGCAAAGAGCTGGTATAGATATGTCCAACATTTTCTTCTTTTGCACTGTACCCTTTAGTAGAGCATAAGCCCTTACCAGCTAAAGCCAAGATGTCACATTTTCTGCCACTGCATGTACTTTTCTCGTTATACATATGTCTCTAGTTCTCTTCTCTACGTGTTTTTATGTTTCCCTGTATCTCTTCTGCTCTGTGCTCCAATATTATGACACTCTAGTTATATTAGTTTTGAAGCGTGAATTGTAGATTAAAAAAATAGCATGATACCTGTTGTTCAATGTTGGCGGTGGCCCGTATGTGATTAAAATTGATCGCGTGGGCAATGACTGATCTGTTGGCGACAAGTTCTGCTATCATCAATGATAAACTGCATTTCTAATGTTGGACTGTTTGTGCTAGCACTTTGGATGGCTACCGTATGCTTTAATGCGAGTGTATGCTAGATATGCTGAGACAGCAGTCTGTCAATCTTTCCACAAGGGACTGTGATAAACATTCTGTGTGTTTTTCGTTGGCACAGAAGCGGAGCAAAGACGAGGTGACCCGTTTGCTATGAAGCTGAAACTAAGACTACCAGACTACCAGATTAGTTTTGAAACACTTTGCCAACATGTCTCCAAAATTAAGCGGGACTCAGTGGTAAAGCCGTTTGCCTCATGCTCCAAAAGTCATGAATTTGTTTCACAGACATGACATTCAGCTCAACAGTGAAGTTCTCACAGATAACACTGGGATGTCATAGCTGGAGCTACAGAGTTTGTGCTTTATGAAATACTTTTGGCATGTGGCTAGCCATTCTGAAGAAAGAGGCCGAGCTCTATGGGATAACCTGATGCAATGACGTCAATCCTCTCACTTTACTAAACTCCATATTTAAATAATGCAAACATACAAAAACAATATGAAATTAGCAAATCTCTTGACAGACATTACCTGTAGCGATAATGATAAAAGTCTGAAAATCTCTCATGATCCCCAGGGGTTGTCATGTAAGGTACTCGAGTTGTGAAGTTACTGATCTTGTTCATATACTCATCCCCAACACTTCCCCCTTGGGTATCCAGATTGTAGGCAATGTCCCCAATATGAAAGACAGCTTCATATCCTCCATTTAGTACTTCATGAACCATGAACTGAAGAGATTTTGTCAACAGCCCCACATCAGCCAGTACCACGAACCGATGCTGCTTTTGGGGATCACTATGAGGTACATCAAATGTGAACTTTTCTGTTCGTGTTCCGGACAAAGAACAGACAAAAAGATACGAATAACGAGTACCAGGGCTGAGGTTCAACAGTTCGGCTCTGTGCACAAACTTAGCTGCCTTGTCACTCTGCTCTGTGAGTTCTATCTTTTTACTGTTAGCTTTTGTGAATGTCTCTGAACCTGTTCCATACTCCACATAACAGTCTTCGTCAGTCTTAGTTGCCCACATGACATAGAAATCATTGATTCGTGAGCCCATAGATAAATGTATTTGTTCAGGCTTTCTGACTGTCTGTTTCCTATCTGGGATGTTTTTGTCAGCCATACTGACAAGATGATCAGTCATGATAATCATCATCGTGATAGTATGAACTACAGAAATGTGTTTTCCAGTTACCAGCATGATGAAATGTTCACATAACAACGGACAGTTTGAGTAATTCTCCCGCTTTCTTCAGTGGCTGGCATACACAAATATCTGCAATATAAATAGCATGAGAACAACTATAATTTGAAACAAAACATCACGTCTTTGTTTTCCAGAAAAAAGTGCCAGTACTCACTACAAAGTGTATAACAAAGGTGCTGCTATGCACCACAAAGTGTCTATTACAGTACTGCTGAAAACCAATGACACCTTAAAAAGGTGCCAGTACTGCCTACCACTGTGTACCATGAGTAAAAAAAGTCCTGGAAATCATCATCATCATCACTGAAGTACTTACCATACATCATTTGATCATACAAACTACAACGTAATGTGCTTGCTGTCCTCTATCGCTGACAGAAGTTACATATTAACCCTTTGCATCAGAACTATTAGTTCAACTACTTCTGTTACAAGGTGTATCTCATTCAATCTTAAGTATATATTACAGTTCTTCTACTCATCCTTCTTTGCGTTCACCAGCTGCAAACTCCCCTGGAAAGTTCTGGTTGTTCGTCCACTTCTGGACTTTGGTCTTGTTCCAGAACTTGAGTTTTTGTGTGCATATTAATTTTACAGATCTGGCTTATGTGTATGCGGACTGTTAGTTCCTCACCTCTCAGACAGATGCATTCCTACTCAGAAGGAGACACCCCTAATTAGTCCCCTTGTATGACATGCTTGCTGGCAAGCAGTGGATCTATTCTTTTTCCTCCCGAAAAAGAGGACCCTGGAACCCACACAGAGAACACTGTTTTAGGGGCTGAAGAAGTTGAGCCACCAGCCTTGTGCTCTGAAGGCTGTGGGTTCGATTTAGGACTCCTTCCTTTGGTTCATGAGTGCAGGTATTTTGGTGATCCCTGGTGGTTGCCGCTGTGAGCTACAGAGTTCGTACATTGTGCGACACATTAGTTCCGCCAGATAAACTCCTCACCTGTCTAGGACAGCAGAGTATACCAGAGTAATACATGATACAGTCATTTTTTATATTTATATATATATTTCTCTCTCTCTCACTCTCTCAAAGTACTGATTGTAAAATGTGCCTAGGAAAACCACAACAGCCAAAAATGCTGCGGCTGGTTCTGCAATGTCATGTAAAAGATATGCAACTAACTTTATATATATATACACACACACACACACACGCACACATGCCCGCACGCACACACACACAGTCACTGTGAATTATTCTAATTTGTACTGCTAATCTAGCAACAAACTCACTATGAATCACATGACACCAGAAGTGTTCAGAAAACACGGTCATCCATTTTGGTTGCTAAGATTATTGTTTATAAACAAAAAGGTTACAGTAATTAAATTATAAGATGCATTTTCTGAAAAAAAAAAGTCTTTTCCTCTATTTTCCAATTATTTACATAATTTTACTCTTAAAAATTGAACAATTTGGCTTAGAAGTGATGGAAAGATTTGAATGAGGTATTGTTAGATCGCATTTTTCTAGTGCTCTGGTTCCATCATATCATCCGTTTGTGACTGTATATGTTGCTTGCAGTTTATTCTTCTATTCCATTCTATCATGTGCAGTTGTTGCAGTATCATGAATGGAATCCAGTCCAGCACGTTTGGCCTTTCTCTTCAATGTTTATCTTAGAGTTTCTTTAGGATGTTTTCTCCGCCTCCTCAGTCCATCTGTTCCAATTTGAGTGCTTTTTCTCTGTCTTGTAACTGTTTATACTAATGGTTGGACAGATATTTCTCTTATTTCTTTCCCTTTCTTGAATTAATTCCATTTGATGTTCATTAATTAACTTCCACTGGCATTTGTTTTCTTGTTACTTATCTGTATCAATATCCCAGCATCTCGCTCTGACTAATTTGTGCTCTGTCCTCCAGCTTCTTTTTAGAGTTCACCAGCTGTTCAGTATGAGTAAAAGTCCTAGTTGATTGTCCCCTTCTGAACTTTGACCTTGTCCAGAAGTTGAGTTCAGCGAGCACATCCGTTTTACAGATATGGCTTATTTGTATAGAGACTGTTCAATCCTAACCTCTTAGCAGATGCCCTCTGACTCTGAAGGAAACAGCCCTAATTAGTCCCTTTTGTATTACATGCTTGTTAGCAGGCAATGGTTCTGTTCTTGTTTCCCCTCAAAATGGGGCCCTGGAATGCACATCGGCAGATGCAGCAGCAATCTCAGCGTCTCCATGCTACTACCCAGTAGAAGTTGACTGGCATTTCTTCTTTCTTTGTCCTCACAACAGGTTGCTGCATGTTTGTCCTCCTTTAGGCTTTTATTTTCGAAATTCTTTAACTCTTTGAGTCCCAAAGAACGCATCACGCGCTAATTGGTTACTACCTGGCGGCCCAACCAGCGCGTGACGTGTGACGGTTTTTAATTTACCACTTATCTGTAATTACACGCGAACCGCTCAATTTAAACTTCCTTTCCGGTTCTCAAGTGTGTAGTGAACACACGTAAAGTGCATTCGTTTGGGTCTGGTGAGTTTTTAACGCTATAAATCTATATTTGTGTGGTCTACTACATTACCAAACAATTGTCTGAAAACAATATGTCCGATCAGTCATCGTCTTCACGCCCAGCAAAGCTTTAGAAGCATCAAATTTGATAAACAGTGGATTTATCAAAGTAATGTGGAGTTGGATAATGATAGTAGCGACGTGGAATTTCCCCAAACCGTTGACGAGTCAAGTTTTGATGAGGATGTGTGCGTAATTTACCTCCTGCTAAGAGGACAACACTGACTAATTCTGCCATGGCAACACAAGAGAAGCACCTCGTAACGCGACACCAGCTAATCCAAATGTCAGCGCTTCTAGTACTTCTATCCATATCATCTAAAACCATAGATATATATCTATGAACAGGTTGACATGTTTACAGTGTCTTTACAGTTTTTTCTATGTGAGGAATTCAATTGTTTTTAGAAAAATCACTGTTTGTGCCACTGGAGAATATATTTTGACATGTTATGGTAGTGTTATTAACATTGCTATGGAACAACAACTATTGCACATTTTGCTTTAATATTGGCTGTGCATACTTATAAGTGGTGTACCTTCCTTTGCGATGCATTTTGGATATACTATATCAAGAATTTTGAGATCAGCTTCTGGGTAAGTGGAAAAAACTTGTTCATAATTTACTCACCTCTCAAACTAAGTCACTGTTTTCTCTACTAAATACTAACTAACAGTATAATTGTTTGTTCTAGCAGTATGCTAATATGAATCCTTATCCATTTATGTTTATTTTCATGTATGATGTGTGTATGTTGCACATCAGCTGCAGTTGTGTGGTTTGTTTTAAAGTGCTGCATTTGTTAAAAGTCAAAATCATATTACCCCTCCCCCCCCCCTTTTGGCCTCTGATGCAAAACCCGCTGGGACTCAAAGAGTTAACTTGTATTCCATATCATTAGTGATTCTCTAATTTTCACAGGCAAATGTTAAAACTTATTTTTTTTAAAACAACATTGAAATTAAAAATACGGGCTCTCCTTCTACCTTGGCATTATGGCAGCCAAGCAAATAGCCTAACAGGGCTTCAGTCGTGTGTAAAATGCGGACTTTTTGCCAAGGAACAAATTGTGGTAAAAAACTAGGATCGGCTCCGAATAACAAAACAAATGCTCTAACAGGGTCTCAGTGATATGTTAATTGCGAACCTGTTTCTGCGACTATGCCACACCGCAGACAGTATCCCCGTGCAACTACACGCGGCGCGGATGGGGGCTAAACTAGATGGCTGAGACTCACGAGCAGCAGCTACTGCATCTCCTGCAACTTCCTCTAATTTATTTGCATCTAGTTTAGATCCCCATCCTCGCCGCGCGTAGCGGCGTGGGGTATACTGTCGGCGGTGAGTTTAACCGCATTTTTGCGCATGCCGAAAAGTGTGAGGACAACGACGCTAATCTGCGTCGGAGCGCGTGGTCTCCCCGCCATGTGGTTAATATCGTCTCTCATGTTGCGTGTCTCGAAATTGTCAATGGTCGCTTTTATCGTCAGCTAGTATCATCTGCAGAAACGCTTGAAATTGTCAACGGTCGCTATTATCGTCTGGTACTATCATCTGCAGTGTTTAGTCTCTTGAAATTGTCAAGTAATCCTAGTTTTGCCGTGATTTGTTCCTTGGCAGAAAATCCGCATTTTACACACGACTGATACCCTGTTAGGCTATTTGTTTGGCCGCCATAATGTCGGGGTAGAGGTTCGGAGAGCCAAAATACGTAACTTATTTTTTTAAACTATATAATAATTTAGAGCTATGCATCAATGCTATATTCTTTTAAAACATTTTTTAAAGTCTCACTGAAGTTACTAATTTGTCTATTTCGGCTTGCAACCTAAGAGTGTGATCGCCCCTGATAATATCATCCTAAACGGTAAACCGTCAGTAGGGAAAGAAAGAGAATGGGACAGACAACGAATGTAATGTACACATCACTTTAACGAAGCAGTCAAAAATAACCATTAACGGTTTAGACTTCTAGTTAAATCATTTACATTACGAAATATCAACTAGCTGTAGCATAACAACAGAAAGAAAAGATAACAAGCCATTAAAACTAATGCACACGGATATTTTTGTTTGTATTGTAGTTTACGGTCTGTAAAGTTGTGTCTCTGTTCCTGTAGACCAAATAATATTGACAAAGTTTAGTGATTAGTGGCAGAGGAGAGGGGACT